GAGCAGTGAAGACCAGGGGCATAGTGTGTTGTTTACCGAGACGTGAAGACCAGGGGCATAGTGTGTTGTTTACCGAGACGTGAAGACCGCGGACGATAAAAGATGAGACCTCACTGTCAGAGCTCCAACCACCAGTCGATCCCCACACCTGTAGTGACCTCATTACTACAGGTTACAACAGCAGTGCCGTACCTGAAGTAGATGTAGCAGTAGTAGGAGGGGAAGCAGTAGTAAAGAAGAGGGATAGCAGCAGTAGTAGGAGGAGAGGGAGGAGTAGCAGTGGTAGTAGTAATAGTACACAAGAGGAACGAGAATGACACGATCAGGGCATATGGGGAGAGAATTCGGAATGTTGGTCAGGGCAGCTTCACTCCTCTGGTGTTCACAACCTTTGGTCGGATGGGACCAAGTGCAAAATGTTTCTACGCCAGACTCGCGGAGGTGTTATCTGAACGGAAGCAGCAGCCCAGAAGTTACGTTACAGCCTGGTTGAGATGTAGACTGTCCTTCTCTCTGCTTAGGTCTGCATTGCTTTGCCTCAGGGGAACGAGAGCATCAGCTCCAAAGCCGACAACAGTCGAAATTATTGACTGAGGCAGCAGTCACTGAATGCCACATAGATCTGCAGCTCAACTAACTCAACACAGCTAGGATAGCTACTTATGCATTAGGATAGTTAATTTTAAGGTAACAAAATGGCGGCGAAGGTATGGCTATTGGGGGAGGCTGGAGGTCACGTAGTAGTAGAGATAGTAGTAGGAGGAGAGGAAGCAGTAGTTGTAAGAGGAGGAGGAGCAGTAGTAGGAGGAAGAGGGGTACCAGTAGTAGTAGGGGGGAGGAGGCAGCAGTAGTAGTAGGAGGAGGAGGGACAGCACCACCACCAGCAAGGATTCTGTGGACGTCACCATACATTTATCAGGAGTCAATAAACTGCTGGTAAGCAATGGCAGCGTCACCTCCAACACGCCGGTCCGGGACAGCCACGATCCCGAGGTGAAAAAGTGTTACTATGATCCTCAGGTTCATCCAGAGAATCCGTCTGTAATATGCCCTACCAAAACATTCTACAAGAACGCCGTGATGTAACCAAACCCAAGACAAACTTCTCGAGTATCCATTTGTGGGTCGGCGTAATAACCGTGTTAACCGTTTCATGTTTAAGGCTTAACGTTTTTCCCTCAATAAAGAAACGCTTCAGATTAGAGAGATCTTTACTCTCTTAGGTAAAGAAAATGGTTAAAGGTAGACCAGCGGAGGGTTGAGGCAGGGGGCGGGGCGGGGCGGGGCGGGTGGGCTGGGCTGGGCCAGGTAGACCGGGGAAAGAACGGAGATAATTCCTCCCTAAATCTGGTACGGTTTGTCGCTGTTCTCCCCGAGCGGTTGTGATGGAGGTATACTGTACGTGAGTTTCAGTGTTAGGGTGACTGCCAGCTGGAGGCGAGTACTGTGTGATGAGGGAAAAGCTTCTTAAATCCGGTTTCTGTTTCTACTCTACCGACTGTTTAAGTATATATATATATATATATATATATATATATATATATATATATATATATATATATATATATATATATATATATATATATATATCAACAATAAAGCACGCGGACTACAGTCGTGGGCAGGGTTCGAATCCTGGCGAATGAGGTGTTGATTATATATATATATATATATATATATATATATATATATATATATATATATATATATATAATCAACACCTCACCCCGCCAGGATTCGAACCCACGGCCCTACATGCACGACACCAACTCGGACTGAGGCAGAAGTTCGGTGAGAATGTGTGGTGTTTGTGAGTACCTCAGTACAGGAGGACCCTTGGCACCGGTGGCACTGGTACAGCTGTGTCAGGTAGACCCGGCGCCCTGCCAGCTCACCTAGCGCCTCCAACCTCCACCACCACACAGGGAAAAACAATATCACGGTGATAATTTAGGGCCTTTCGAACAGGTAACCCCTTACAAAACAAATGACCCACTAAGACTCTTCCATCCTGTTAATACTGCAGTATTAGGTGGATGGAGTACATAAGGACTTGTTATCATGAGGAGGTGGGAAGGTTTCTCACTGTCACAACACCCCGCCACTGTCCTGCCCTCACGGATATATTTGTGTACTAAGATGAGGCGATTGGGAGTAGTGGTGTGTTGTTGGTTCTTTGTCAACAATGGAGACGAATGTGTGTTATCACCTTCCTTTTAGCTATGGTTGTGGTGAGTGGTGGAGACTGTTGGAGATTATGATAGTAACTATGAGGAGGTGGCAGAGGTTGTAGGTAGTAGTGTTGGTGATCGTGCAAGAGATAGTAGTAGTGGCCGTGTTGGAGACTGTAGTGGTGGTAGTGGTAGTAAAGAAGAGGTGGTATAGTGGTTGTGGCAGAGTTTATACTAATGCCTGGTGATGGTGCTAGTTGTATAGGTAATGATGGTGGTGGTGGGGCTAATGTTGATAGTTGTTGTTGGTCGTGGTGTTAAATGACTGAAGGCATTAATAGAAGTGTTAGTGGATGAGAAAGAGAAGGGGGAAGTGGATTTTGGATTGAAGAGGAAGGGGGAGTGACTATATGACTGAGTGAGGGAGAGGAAATGGATTTAAGGCTGAGTGGGGAGGGGTGAATGATGTGGGAACTGAGGAGGGGTGAGTGATGTGGGAACTGAGGGGAGGGTGAGCAATGTGTGGAACTGAGTGGAAGGGGTGAGGAGGTGGAACTGAGGGGAGGGGGAGAGGATGCGAACTGAGTGGGGAGGTGAGTGATGCGAACTGAGTGGGGAGGGGTGAGTGATGTGGAACTGAGTGAGGGGTGGGAGGATGTGGAACTGAGGGGAGGGGTGGAGGATGGAACCGAGGGGGAGAGGTGGGTGATGGGAACTGAGGAGGAGGGGGTGAGTGTGATGAACTGAGTGGGAGGAGTAAGTGATGCTGGGAACTGAGTGGAGGCACGGGGAAGTGGAAAATACAATTATGGGAAAGAGGAGAAGTGGCTAGGAGCAGAGAGAGAGAGAGAGAGAGAGCGAGAGAGAGAGAGAGAGAGAGAGAGAGAGAGAGAGAGAGAGAGCAGTGGGTTTTACAGCGCGTGTGGCAGCAGATTTCATAAATTACCTTGAAACATTAAGCTCTTTTTTTTTACCTGTGTGTATAAATGAAGAAGCAAATTACAAACATTTCTACTTGACAGGTTAATTATGGCCTTCGACGAGGTAGGAAAAAACTAAATGAGTACATAAATCAGACCAGAGCGAGAGGGGGGAGGGGGTGGATATTAAGCCAGCGGCAAGAACGCGTTCTGATCTATTACTACAAACACACACACACACACACACACACACACACATACCTTCCTTTTTACTCACACACAAACACAGTAACACCTTTCTCAACTCTATTTTCTCTTTCACACACACACACACACAAATTCTCTCTCTCTCTCTGTTACATCCTCCCCTCCGATCTCACATGGTACACACAGTAGTGTGGTGAATGTGGTGGTGATGGTGTATGGTGACTTTGCCATAATTGATTGGTGACGTAGTGTGTAATTTATTCACCGTTGGAGCACTTAACTAGGGAAGTAGCAGGTGTATTAAAATGTTTGGTGAGAATAATAATTTACGATGCAGCAAATTTACTCATTAATTTTTCTCCGTCTATCTATCTATCAATAACTGTTTGTCTCTCTCTCTCTTTTTCTCTTTATATGTTTCTCTTTCTCTCTTTGTCCTTGTCTGTTTGTCTATGCCTACAACAGAGAGAGGGGGGGGGGGAATTAACCACGGTTTGTTCTGTTCTTTATAAAACTACTTCCTATTATTCACAGGTCCTGATGGTGTATTCTGTTTGTATTTTTCAGGTAAATGGGAGTCAAAAGATGGCCGCCTCCGCTCAGGTACAGACGACAACTGTTGGCCGAGAATCACACAGGGTATCGTACAGTACCTGTCTAGTGTGTGTGGGTGATAACCGTTTGTTTGTGACTAAGTGGATGAAAGAGAAGTGAGAGAGAAAGTTGTTTGTGTCAGAGTGAATGAAAGTGTGTGTGTGTCTGTGTGTGACATGTTGATAATGTGTACAAATAGACCCCAAATATTAATTACTTCTTGTGGTGTCGTAAATACGAGCTAATCAATATAGTGTTCAGTCAGACCTTAAATTACTTTTACCCCTTCGGTGTCGAACAACATAACATTCTGTACAATCAGGGTCAAAAGTTCGCTCCCTCCTAAACTGAAGCAGAATCGACCCCTAATGAGATAAATAACACACCCGCACCAGACAACCGTGTATCAGTCCGAAGATCCACTCTCCTTACTCAGTTTCATTGCGGGAAGCGACCTGTTGTCCACGACCGTACTTATCTGCAGCTCGGTTACTGACTCACGCGCTCACTGACTCATCGCTCATTGACTGACTCAGTCACTCACGACCCCATCACTCTCCGTCTCAATCGTTCACTGACTCAATCGCTCATTGAGTCACTGACTCAATCACTCACTGTCGCAATCACGCAAGAAAGACTGAGAGATTATGATGTGTTCGGTGACGTAAAGTATTAACATTTTACTTGTAGTTAGTAAATATTAGTAAGTCATTTATTGAGACATTATCAACACTAAATACTTACTTACACAAGTATTGTAACTGCGGCATGTAATTACTATCCCTTAACTTGGCAGTGACCCACTAGAGTACAGCTTACTCGATGACACGTCCGAGAACCACATGCTGAGAAATGTGTTGTAGTATTGTTTTGGTAAATACTGACTCAGTGTTTATATGACCTGGTTTATTATATTATACACACTGTGTTGTTATAGGTAAGGCAGGAGGAAACATCTCCATTGGTTCCTGGTGAGTAACGTGTTGAGTTTGTCCCTGTGTACCGAGGCTGCGAGTGACGGGGGGTGAGTGGCTTCTGACCCATTGTTACTTTCCCCTGCAAGGTGTAGCTACACTCTGGTGAGGCAGCAACCTTAGAGCCATCCAGCTCAGGTTGTATTTCCCGCAGTGCTTCTGAAGTCTGGTGTTAACCCACCGAGTTCTGGGCTGTGATAAATCTCCGGATGACTATTCAAGTTGAAGCCACGAGCGTCTTTCCTCTGCTGGAGGACTACAGACTGCCTTTGATGTCGCAGGAGTTGCAGCGTCTGCACACTGGTGGTGGCCTCATTGACGTGCGCCGCCTGGGTAGTACCCACACCAGCCAGGGAAGGGGGTTGTGGGCGACGCTTAATAAAACTCACGTTAAATGTTTCGTTGTCCCAGTCGAGTGAACTTACTGATATTGTTGGCTTGGTGTTTGGTTCCCAGATTGTCTTAATATTACCAACACATTTAAAGAAAATTTCTGAAAAGTTCGAAGCGTTCTCTTTACTTTTAAACAAGGCTTCACGCGATCCACCGACAGTTAGTGATCACAATCATCAGCACTTTAAAGAGATGGATTTATAAATTGCAAGAAAAATTCGAAACATACTTGGCATAATAACTAACAGTAGTGAATGTGTTAATAAAATGATTGCCTTGATATTATTGTTGTACAGTATACTAGCGCATCCGGACCTCTCCTCCCTCCACCCTCTCCCCAGGTTCATAACTTCTGTGAGGGGAGGGGAGGGGCTATGGTAGTGGTGCAGGGTGGTTGTACACGGCAGTATTAAAGCTTAGGTCTTGGTGCTGCACGAACTCACTTCACCTCCCTCGATGGCTCTGTCGCGCAGGACGATATCGGATGTAACAGCTGCCAATGAAATTGTCGGTCCCCAGATATAACTTGATCTCTCCCTTGTCCCTCTACCACCAGCGGGAGGAGTGTGTTCTTGGGTCCTGCCGGAGTAGTACATTCATTACGCTGTGTTCAAAGCACTACCTCTATTACACTGCCACAGTGTTTTCAAATCACAATACTGTGTCCTAAACTGAGGTTAGGTTAGGTTAGATTAGATTAGGTTAGGAAGGGGGTAGCTATATTTCGAACCTGAAAACGTTGTTTTGAACGGAATGAGAGAGGATAAGGGTGGAGAGAGAGAGAGAGGTGATGGTGGGGAGTGAGAGTGAGGTAGGTGAGGATGGGGTGAGAGAGAGAGGTGATGGTGGGGAGTGAGAGTGAGGTAGGTGAGGATGGGGTGAGAGAGAGAGGTGATGGTGGGGAGTGAGAGTGAGGTAGGTGAGGATGGGGTGAGAGAGAGAGGTGATGGTGGGGAGTGAGAGTGAGGTAGGTGAGAATGGGGTGAGAGAGAGAGAGAGAGATGATGGTGGGGAGTGAGAGTGAGGTAGGTGAGGATGGGGTGAGAGTGAAGGTGGGGAAAGAAGGAGGCTGGTAGGGGCGAGAGTGATTGAAAGATAGGAAGAATGTAGGGATGGGATGAGAGTAAGGCAGTTGAGGGTGTTGGTTGACTGGTCTACTGTACAGTACATCTGACGTCGTGATATTTTAAGTCATGTGACGCCGTCCTCAAAAAGGGGTTTCAATTTAAAAATAATGTAACAAAATTATAGATAAATTAGATACATATGGGAGTAGGCAGCTACCAAACAGGGAGGTACTACCGCCTGGGAAGATATTGGAAGCATAATGTGTTGTCTAATGGTAGACCCTGCTGCCATATGGCATCACGAAAATTGTGACCAAGTCCCAGGTTGCTGATCTGACTTTCTGCCTCATTTACACACAATTGCAGGGTCTCAATTGTTTCCCATACTGTGACAACACAACATACAGTACATATATTGTTTCTCACTATTGATCTTTTTTTATTTATGGTCCTTTATTATTATTATTATTATTATTATTATTATTATTATTATTATTATTATTATTATTATTATTATTATTATTATTATTATTATTATTATTATTATTATATATTTTTTTTTATTATTATAATTATATTTCCCCTCCCAAGCCCCGATGTGGGTCACTGACCTGTGTCCTGGTGGGCTAATCCCGTAAAAAAAATGGAAATATACTTAAAAGATTACAAAAGCCAACTTTTATATTGTGAAGGAAGTCAGCTTCCTCGATAACTTAAAAACTCTAACCTCTGGAAGTAAAACATCTGGTCCATGATCCAAGATTATGCCATAGTTACCATCAGCTCCCCGAGTCCTGGAGAGATGCCGCCTCCTCACGTCCCTCAAACTAGGTCACTCGAACAGCATGTGTTTTATAGTCAAGGGGAGCAGGAAGTCCTCGCATACTGGCTGGGGCGGAGAGTGAGGAGGGTGGCAGAGAGAGAGAGAGGGAGGGTAGTTGGGGAGGATGGGAGAGAGAGAGATGCAGGGAGGGTGGGGGAGAGGGAGAGGTATTTGGGGAGTGGGGAGGGAAGCAAGGTGTGGCGCGGATTCAAGAATGTGAGCAGATCTGTGTGTCGTCCCTCCCTCCCTCCCTGACACGCACACACACTGTATAAACACAACCTATTCACCTGTCACCTTCACTACGCTGATCCCCCCTACTACCACGCCCTCACCTGACACCACCACTACCCCCCTCACCTGACACCACCACCACCACACCTGCCCACCACCCCTCACCTGTCACCATCACCACCCCCTCACCTGACACTACCACCATTCCCTCATCTGACACCACCACCCCCTCACCTGACACCACCACCACGCCCTCACTTGACACCACCACCACTACGCCCTCACTTGCCATCTCAACCACACCATTCCTTACCTGTGCTATAGTTGTTATCCATACCATAAATGACACCTGAACCTCGTCAACGCTCACTCACTAACACACATCAGCTGATAATCACCTCATATTGTTACCTTTGTCACACCGTAATCGCTATTGTGACGTTATGGTGCGGGGCTGTGAGATCAAGAGCCGCCACTTGATAGGATGACACCTGTTTGCATTACTGAGTAGTGTTGTGGTGACGGTGGTGGCAAGGCTCTGATGTTGAGTGTTTTGGTCTGTCAGGTGCGTGGTTGTGGTGTGTTGTGGTCAGGTGTGTTGATTTGGTCAGGTGTGTGGTTGTGGTCAGGTGTGTGGTTGTGGTGTGCTGTGATCAGGTGTGTGGTTGTGGTGTGTTGTGGTCAGGTGTGTTGATTTGGTCAGGTGTGTGGTTGTGGTGTGTTGTGATCAGGTGTGTGGTTGTGGGACGACAGTGGACGGCAGCTAGTTTATTGTGCAAAAAGAGCATTGCAGAGTACATGCCACAATGAGTGTTTATCAGACCCCAGTGGTCAGGATATTATGACACATTGGTACGACGGAGTACCTGGTTTGTGGTTGTGGTATAGCTGAGTACTTTATGAGTGGTGTTGTGGTGGTGGTATGATGGAGTACCTGGTGTATGGTTGTGGTATGTATTGATATTTTTTATGCATTGTGGTGTGGTATGTTCCTATATGAGGTGTGCGTGTGTGTGTGTGTGTGTGTGTGTGTGTGTGTGTGTGTGTGTGTGCGTGCGTGCGTGTGTGTGTGTGTGTCCCACTAGCGGCACATGGTGTTGTGGTCGTGTTGGTCTAAGGTTAGAATAACTCCCAAATAAATATTACTGAAAGTCTCCTTGAGGGTATTTGTTCTCTCTCTCTCTCTCTCTCTCTCTCTCTCTCTCTCTCTCTCTCTCGTGCGTGCGTTAGTCTGTGTTGTGTGTTTTTAGTGTGTGTGTGCGTTTAGTGTATACATCCATAAATATTCATATCGCCTCTGTCTACACAACATCTTTTGAGACAGTTGGCCATATCATTGACTCGTAACATATTAATTAAGAGACAAACCAACAGACCTAAAGACATCCCGTGAGCCTGAGCAGGACCGCCATGCCCACGTATGGGTGGTGCTCAGACCATTAAAGAATGGATCGGGAACGGGAAATGTACAATAAAAGCGAGGAAACCCCATTTATAATTCTACTCCTGGCAGCAACTGGCAACTCACCCGAACCTCGTGTGCTTTGCGAAATCTCAAGAGAGAGAGAGAGAGTTTGTTAAAAATAAATTATAAGAATTACTAATTGTGTAAACTCTGTCTTTAAAACTATATGAGTGTTTGTTCGCCTTTACGAGTGATGTGGCGGACTATTATACGTTATCGTAGGTGTGGTCAGTGTATGTGTTTTTGTGTCTATGTGTTTGTAATTATGATAAGATTGTGTTTGAGAAATGTGGAACAAGTAGAGGTGAGTGCTTTTGTGGCAGGAGTGTGGTGGTGGTGGCGCCAGCAGCCACGGGGAGGAGAGAGGACCCCATGCACTACCCAGCGTGAGAGACACGACAGGAATGCAACACTGGTTGATCACCAAGCCAACCTGTACTTCTATCTACCCCCCTCCCTCTGCCCCTGTCTCACGCCGCCGCCACCTCATCCACACAACTTTATAAATTCCACCACCACTACCACACCAGTATTACCACTACCATACTAGTATTTCCACTACCACACTAGTATTACCACTACCACACTAGTATTACCAGTACCATACTAGTATTACCAGTACCATACTAGTATTACCACTACCATACTAGTATTACCAGTACCATACTAGTATTACCACTACCATACTAGTATTACCACTACCATACTAGTATTACCAGTACCATACTAGTATTACCAGTACCATACTAGTATTACCACTACCATACTAGTATTACCAATACCATACTAGTATTACCACTACCATACTAGTATTACCAGTACCCACCAGCATTACAACCTCACCATACAACCAGTATTTCACACCACCATAACCAGCATCACCACCACCATAAATTATCAAACCAGCACCACACCATCACATAACCACCACACCAGCACATTACCACCATCACAACCAGTGACACCACCACCACAATTAATCACCAGCAACCACACCATATCACCACCACCAAACCAGCATCACCACCACCACAACCAGCATCACCACCACCACAATCAGCACACCACCACCAACAACCAGCATCATTAATCACCACACCAGCATCAACACCACCACAACACCAGCATCACACCACCACACACCAGCACATTAACCACCACACCAGCATCACCACCAAATAAATCAGCACACCAATCACCAATAACCAGCTACACCACCAACAAAACCAGCACAATAATCACCACACCAGCATCACCACCCACCACAACCAGATCAGATCACCACAACACTATCCACCATCACACCAGCATTACCAACCACCACACAACCAGAATACCACCACCACACCAGCATTACCACCACCAACACCAATATTACCAATACCACAAACTAATTATTACAACCACTAATAACCAGCATTACCACCTCACCACACCAGCACTACACTACCATACCCAGCATTACCCACCTACCACAACCAGCAGGACACTCAATTAACACACCAGCACACAATTCACCAAAACCACAATTAACCACCACCAAAAACTAGCATTACTCACTACCACACCACAGCATTCACCACCAAATACAGCATTACCCAATTGACTACAACCAGAAAGACACCTAACCCACCACAACCACAGCATCACACACCACACCAATAACCACAACAATTACACACACCAGCATTAACACCACCACACCAGCATTCAATCACCACAACACCACACACCACCACAACTAGCATTACCACCACAAACCAGCATTAACAACACAATACCAGACACACTTAACACACAAATTCATTACCACCACCACAAACAGTACACCACCACCACACCAGCATTACCACCACCACAACCAGCACACCACCACCACAACAACATTCACCACTAACAACCAGTATCACACCACCACAACCATTACCCACCCCACCACAACTAAGCACACCACCACCAACAACCAGAACTTCTACCACCACCACACCAGCACACCACACCACCACAACCAGCATCACTCCACCCCCACCACAACCAGCACACCACCACCACACCAGCACACCACCACCACACCAGCACACCACCACCATACCAGCACACTCCACCACCAGCCACACCAGCATTACCACCAACCAGCATTACCACCACCAACAATCAGCATATCTCACCACCACCACACCCAGCATTACACTCACCATACCCAGCATTACCCACTACCAACAACCAGCATTACCTACACTCTCACCAACCAGCACTCCACCCCACCACCACAACTAGCACACCACCACCACACACCAGCACATCACCACCACAACCAGCATTAACTCACCACCAACAACCCAGCATCACCACCACCAATAACCAGCATCACCCACCACACCAGCACACCACCACCACCACCAGCACACCACCACCAATAACCAGCAATAACCACCAACACAACTCAGCACACCACCCACCAATAACCAGCATTACCACCACCACACCAGCATTTCACCACCACCACACCAGCATTACCACCACCACAATCTGCATTACCAATCACCAAAAACTAGCATTACCACCACTAATAATCAGTAATACCACTACAACCAGCCAATACCACCATACCCACAGCATTACCAACCACCACAACCAGCATTACCACCACCACAACCAGACATTACCACCACCAAACCAGCATTACTACTACCAAACCAGTATTACCACTCACCAAACCAGTATTACTCACCAATTAATAACTAGCATTACCACCACCACAATCAGTATTACTCACTCACCACACCAGTAATACCACCACTAATAACCAGCATTACCACCACCACAACCAGCATTACCACCACCATACCAGCATTACCACACCACACCAGCATTACCACCACCACACCAGCATTACCACTCACCACAACCAGCATTACCACTACCATACCATTATTATTACCACTAACATACCAGCATTACCACTACCACAATTAGTATTACCACTCATCACACCAGTATTACCACTACCATACCAGCATTACCACAAACCAGTATTACCACTACCACACCAGTATTACCACTACCACAATCAGTATTACCACTACCACACCAGTATTAAGAAGGTGAGGAGCTCACTGAGAAATAGAGCGTTGGGCCTGCAGTATATTGGTTGGTTAGACTCAACTGTACTTGTCCTCACAGGTCTCAGGTCTGTTCTTCAGCACCAGGTCCTTCACGTAGCCTCCTTCAGAGACCCACCACTCAGGTCATATCTCCTGTATATAGTACGTCTCATTACATAATACAACTTCGTGATTGTTGCTGATGCTCAAGTTGTACATATAAAATCATGATCTTAAAAACTTTGAAAACATTAGTTTTTAAAATATTTTATATCTGACGTGGAATTATTCTTTGGTGATTCGCAGGGGCGCTGTTAAAAAATACCTAGATTATTAAATTTGATGTTTTTTATGTGCACTATCACATTGGAACTGTAAAAAAAACAACAATAAAAACAATTCTAATTCACTGCATTTTCGACTCACCAAATCCCATTACTGATTCCAGATGGAATTTTGGTATTGACGCTGTTAGGTTATGACACACTAAACTGAGTGGTCTGGCAGGGAACACACACTCTCTCTCTCTCTCTCTCCGTGTTTGCAGTGTAGACCTACTTCAGAAACCTGAGTGAAACACAGACGTATTGAAGTATAGGCAGCACACTTAACCCAACCCCGCTTACTCTACCCTAAAGTAACCTCACATTACTTCGCCTCACCTCACGTCATCTGGCCTAGTAATGGTTGGAGGCGACGCAGGTGCAGGCGGTAAACCTCCATCACTTCAGCTTGTCAATATAACCATCTGATATTCACGTTGGATCAAAGAAGCAAATATTTGAACGTAAGCCAAAGGGAATTTTCCATCTATCAGCAACGCGAGGATTTTATATTGTGTGGTGCTGGGGAGCTTTGTTAACGTTTTGTTTATATTTTTAGGCCGAGAAAATTTATGATGATAATGTTCATATAAACGATGTTAAAGTCTACTCAAGTCTGCTGTTTATGTGTGCTTGTGTGTGTGTGTGTGTGTGTGTGTGTTGTTCATTTAATCTAGCAAACTTTTGTTTTAATACTATGCTGCACACACACACACACACACACACACACACACACACACACACACTGACCCTTCTTCTTCATACCTACCTGATAATGACTTAACATTATTAGGGGCCTGCCATTCTTTGCCATAAACAGATATACTGTACTGGGAATCCTCTTTCCATACACTCATTCTCCCTCCACTACATGCAGCTTGCTAACACAACTGATGGCCCCTCTGGCACTCACGCCCGTAAATTGTATGTCAGAAAATACCAGCATCACAGCATGAATTCCGCATGTTCCCCATTTGGCCGCTGTAATGCTTCAGCACTTCACCTTGCACAGGATGTAAGGGGTGCTCAATAAACTAGTTCCCGCGTTGCGTGGGGGTAAATTTGAATTTGATTTGCAGCGGAGCCATTGATTTCATCACGACCCTCCCTCCCTCCTTCCTTATCCCCAGAAAGACCACGCCACGACGCCCTCCCCAGCAGGATCCGACCATGATCCATTTCTGATTTGCGTGCGATATCGACAGCTCCTTGCTCCCACCCACACGGCAGCTGGTGGAGGCGATCCAATATTGGCAATTACTTGGTGACATAACTCAGTGCAGACACAAACGTCATGTTTGTTTACGTTTGAGACATCTTGCAGGTGTCTTGACCTAGAGGGTAAACACCTGCGAATCACCTGAAGATGGAACACCCCAGTTTATTTCTTTTTAAGATTAACCACGCTAACCTAACCTAACATAACCTAACCTAACACCCCAGGTAGCATTAGTGCATTTGATTATCGCGGGGAATAAACTGAAATACCTAATAGACACGTGATCGACAAACAAATGGACCTTCCCATCAACAAATACGGTAGTACGTGAGGTGCTTAAACAACGGACACACGGACGTTTAACAAGATATTTTAGTTAAAAATTTTTATCTGCATGTTATAGTCTGTGAGCCAGCTGTGTAAACACTCTTTGTTCACAAGGACAAGAGAGATGTGTGTGTGTGTGTGTGTGTGTGTGTGTGTGTGTGTGTGTGTGTGTGTGTGTGTGTGTGTGTGTGTGTGTGTGTGTGTGTGTGTGTGTGTGTGTGTCTGTGTGTGTGTGTGTGTGTGTGTGTGTTTTCTTTTAAGTGTTTTCCGGCATGATTTTATTTCGTGTCATCTCTCTCTCTCTCTCTCTCTCTCTCTCTCTCTCTCTCTCACAGAATATGAAGAACTATCTATACTCACCATCATCATCGCTTCTGAGGTACACCAAGAGGTCAAGGTATAACAGGCAGGTAGAGTCGTCATTAATATCCTGTCGTGAAGTTAATTACTGAAGGGGGGAGGGGGCGGGTCACAGATGTCAGGAGTCTCTTACGAGTATCTCTCACTGCGCTTCATATTTATCTCATAGCGTCACAGATAAATCTCATTACGTTACAAATATTCTCATTACGTCATAGATATATCATGATGTCTGAAGTACCTCTCATTGCGTCACATATCATTTCGTCACAAGTACCTCTCATTGCGTCACAGATATACCATTACGTCACATATACCTCTCATTTCCTCTATTGCTCTGTTCATTTTCTTACTATCATCTTTATATATATTTTCCCATTTCTTATATTTTCACCTGAATTCCATTTTCTCTTTTCTAACTTATTTTTTTTGGCCCTTGAAAAAAAAAATAATTTAATGGGAACTAATTAATTTCCACTTAAAATTTTGGTCGATTTGGCGAAAAAAAAGTAACCTAAATGGATGTGATTTTTGTTATTGTGGGAGATAAGGGAGGAGTTGTTTCGCCTCTACCACCTTGAGTACAGTGAATTAACCCATTGAGTATGATATCTTAACCTCCTGGAGTACGATAATTGTACTCTAGGGATCAAATCACCATATTCAAAAGGTAAAGTCATCGTACTCAAGGGGTAGTCATCGTACTCGTCTTGTTGATGTTATAGTGTTGTCACTGCGTCTCACTAACGTCTTTAAGAGGTTATTCTAGGTCGATTAATACACTATAGTCATCCACAAATAAATATGAAGAGTAAGTGTGGTCCTCGTTGTCGTCCTCTGCTGAGTCCTCGTTGTCGTCCTCTGCTGAGTCCTCGTTGTCGTCCTCTGCTGAGTCCTCGTTGTCGTCCTCCGCTGAGTCCTCGTTGTCGTCCTCCGCTGAGTCCTCGTTGTCGTCCTCCGCTGAGTCCTCGTTGTCGTCCTCCGCTGAGTCCTCGTTGTCGTCCTCCGCTGAGTCCTCGTTGTCGTCCTCCGCTGAGTCCTCGTTGTCGTCCTCCGCTGAGTCCTCGCTTGCTCGTCTCTCCGCTGAGTCCCTGCTGTCGTCTCCTCCCGAGTCCTGCTGTCGTCCTCCGCTGAGTCCTCGTTGTCGTGTCTCTCCGCTGAGTCCTCGTTGTCGTCCTCCGCTGAGTCCTCGTTGTCGTCCTCCGCTGAGTCCTCGTTGTCGTCCTCCGCTGAGTCCTCGTTGTCGTCCTCCGCTGAGTCCTCGTTGTCGTCCTCCGCTGAGTCCTCGTTGTCGTCCTCCGCTGAGTCCTCGTTGTCGTCCTCCGCTGAGTCCTCGTTGTCGTCCTCCGCTGAGTCCTCGTTGTCGTCCTCCGCTGAGTCCTCGTTGTCGTCCTCCGCTGAGTCCTCGTTGTCGTCCTCCGCTGAGTCCTCGTTGTCGTCCTCTGCTGAGTCCTCGTTGTCGTCCTCCGCTGAGTCCTCGTTGTCGTCCTCCGCTGAGTCCTCGTTGTCGTCCTCCGCTGAAACTCGTTATGTCGTCCTCCGCTGAAAGCCTCGTTGTCGTCTCCTCTCCGCTGAGTCCTCGTTGTCAAAATCTCCGCTGAGTCCTCTCGTTGTCGTCCTCCGCTGAATTTCGTTGTCAAACCCTCCGCTGAAAGCCTTGCTACAGCCGTCCTCCGCTGAGTCCTCGTTGTCAAATCTCCTCCGCTGAAATCCTTCGCTTGTCGTCTCCCTCCGCTGGAAAGTCCTCGTTGTCGTCCTCCGCTGAGTCCTCGTTGTCGTCCTCCGCTGAGTCCTCGTTGTCGTCCTCCGCTGAGTCCTCGTTGTCGTCCTCCGCTGAGTCCTCGTTGTCGTCCTCTGCTGAGTCCTCGTTGTCGTCCTCTGCTGAGTCCTCGTTGTCGTCCTCCGCTGAGTCCTCGTTGTCGTCCTCCGCTGAGTCCTCGTTGTCGTCCTCCGCTGAGTCCTCGTTGTCGTCCTCCGCTGAGTCCTCGTTGTCGTCCTCCGCTGAGTCCTCGTTGTCGTTCCTTCCGCTGAGTCCTCGTTGACGTCCTCTGCTGAGTCCTCGTTGTCGTCCTCCGCTGAGTCCTCGTTGTCGTCCTCCGCTGAGTCCCTGCTGTCGTCCTCCGCTGAGTCCTCTGTCGTCCTCCGCTGAGTCCTCGTTGTCGTCCTCCGCTGAGCCTCGTTGTCCCTCCGCTGAGTCTCGTTGTCGTCCTCCTCCGCTGAGTCCTCGTTGTCGTCCTCCGCTGAGTCTCGTTGTCGTCCTCCGCTGAGTCCTCGTTGTCGTCCTCCGCTGAGTCCTCGTTGTCGTCCTCCGCTGAGTCCTCGTTGTCGTCCTCCGCTGAGTCCTCGTTGTCGTCCTCCGCTGAGTCCTCGTTGTCGTCCTCTGCTGAGTCCTCGTTGTCGTCCTCTGCTGAGTCCTCGTTGTCGTCCTCTGCTGAGTCCTCGTTGTCGTCCTCCGCTGAGTCCTGGTGCTATTAATATTACATCATTAACCAGGTATTTATCGGTTAATTTCTCCGCCAGAAAAATCATTTACACGACTATTAGACGAAGCTTAAAATACAGTCTGTCTCTGAATCAGTTTAGTCTGTTAGTCAGTCAGTCGTTTGGTTAATTACTCGGTTAGTTAGTCAGTCAGTCAATCGGTCGTCGGTTAGTCAGTCGATTAGCTAGTCAGTCAGTTGGTTGGTTAATTAGTCAGTCCGTTAGTTAGTCAGTCAATCGGTTGGTTTGTTCATCATTCGGTCGTTAGTTAGTCAGTCAGACGGTCGGTTAATCATTCAGTCGGCCGGTTAATCATTCGGTCAGTTAGTCAGTCACTCAGAATATACTCCATACGCAGCTCAAGAACAAGCGTCACCACAACACAGGGTATATGAGGGTCGGAGAGGCAAAAAACGGCGGCAGATGGTGCAATAGTACATTAGTGGGGCCGTGTGTGTGTGTGTGTGTGTGTGAGTGTGTGTGTGTGTGTGTGTGTGTGTGTGTGTGTGTGTGTGTGTGTGCCACGTGTGATTCTGGCAGTCCGTCAAGTTGTGTTCTTCTGGCACTACACTACACCGTCTTGGCTCGCCCTCTTGTTGCTTTGGTGACTGGTGGTGGCGGTCGCAGTGGTGGTGGTGGTGGTGGTGATTGCTTTAGGAATCGAGGGAAACATCACTTAACTTAACCTAACCAGAATTATGATTTTTTTCTGTAACTTTTTTATTCTGTGACTTCCTTATTCTGTGACTTTTTTATCCTGTGATTTTTAACCTGTGATTTTTTTTTTATCCTGTGACTTTTTTACGGTGATCCTCACTTGTACGTACCTTATAACCCTCGACCGAGTACAAACGCTGCCTGATTAATAATTCCATTGGACTTTAGTGGATAAAACCCACAGGAAAGTCGTGTTTTTCTCTCGGCTGTTGGAAATATTCATCGCTATTCTTCCGTGTAAAAAGCAGTAGACATGTTTTAAGTTTTTACAGGTGGGAATATGGGAGTGTGAATTTTTGTAGCAATAGTTTTATATCACCTGAATATTAGCCCTCCCCCCCACCCACCCCCCCAGCTTGTGTCTGCTGGTGATTAAACTCCCTAACGCTACCTGGAGGGGTTAGGTTAGGGTAGGGTAGGTTTAGGTTAGGTTAGGTTTTTTTAGGGTTAGGTTTGGTTAGGGTAGGTTATTTTATGTTAGGGTAAAGTATATTGAGTTAGGTTAGGGAAGGGCAGGATGTTAGGTTATTTTTTTTATTATATTAAGTTAGATTAAATTAGGTTAGCTTAGGGTTAAGGTGTTTTATCATCAGGTTGAATAAGGTGGGGTTCCTGTTCTTCGGGTGATCCATTTGTTTTAGCATGAAGATCTGTGACGATATACTGTAGGCAGGAGGTGGAGTGAGGAAGATGGAAGAGAATCAGGCGAGGTAAATAAAGAGTAAAAAGTTGTGTTGTGGCGTCACATCTGGTCTTGCTGCTCCTGAGGAAGACCACGGTGTCCTGCCCAGGTGAGTCTCTGGGTGCCTAGTGGCGTAACCTATACTATGAGATTATGGGAGGTTCCTCCTTCCTTGACTCGACGAGGAAAGACGTGTTTATTGCCGGGGGGTATGTGGTGTGATTTCCCCTGAGGACGAGGAATGTCACGCGCCGGACATTATCGGGCAGAAATCCACGTTTATGCGGGTATAACTAGAATAACGTGCTTTAATTGGTCCTCATAAGGTGACATCATAGAGAAATAACACGGGGTAAATAGTTCACTTCCGCAATGTTGCCAATGTGGTAGTATCAATGTGATTCCGGCGCTCTCCTATATCCTTACTAATATATATACAGTGTTACCAGTGTGTTGTGAGCCCTGGTGCTCTTAGAGGCAAGTTATTTAATATATTATACGACTTACTATGACACGGGTTTATTTTTTTCAGCGTATTTACTCCTAATAAACCACTAAAAGCTGATCTCAAACAAACCAGAATTGTTCGGTTGTAATACCTGTAACGTTAATGATGTGATGAGTGAGTGAGATGTCTTCAGATAACTCTTACCATAACCACCCAACAAGGCCTTTGAAGTCTTGTGCCTCCCAGCTGTCATCTCCCTCTATTTGATCTGAGTAATATCATGTGACTGAATGAAAAATAGAATTCTTTGATATTTCCGACGAAGGACGATGAGAGCTGAGGAAAATATTTTCTTTAGAGACGACGCGAGACGATGACTTTATCCCTAGAATACGATAACATAACCCTTTCAATACGATGACCTAACCCCTTGAATACGATGAAGTTTACAAAAATAGTACGTAAATAAAGCTGCTCCCTGTGGTGAAAGGGTTGAAACAAGTCCATATAAGAGAGAACGACCTAACCTGTGCTCATTATTCTGAGAGACAACGCGTGTGGGTTGAGGGGCCACGTTCACGGTCACTCCGACCCGAAGATCCATTAAGTGGAGGAACCAGGATGTAGGACACACAAAGGTACGTACGGACCCCTTGAAGCCAAAACAATTCGAGAACACTTAAGATGCTTCGAACCTGGAACCTTTTAGTATACTCCGGCGACCTCCCATCCTCCATGTCTCAATCACCCCCGTCTCCTTTAGCGGCCTCACTTCCCCCTCATCGTTCAACCCCTTCCTCTCTCACTCACTCCCGACGACCAACTCCCCACTCCCTCTCTCACTCACCCCTAACGATCTCCACTCCCACTCTCACTCATCCTCAACCCCCTCGTAAGATCATGTGTCCATTGTTTTAATGTCGTGAATAACAGAGTCGGTCGCTGTCTCGCTGGAGGGGCGCTGCTACACTGCCGTCCCTAGTCCCGCCGCTCGATATTTGTAAACACTATCACCATGATACCTGGGTGGCGCCCGTGGCATACTACCCACCACCACCCAGGTACACCACCGTCTGGCCCAGGCCGAGTGTTTTTTTTTTGTGTAGAGAGAGACGGGGTGAAAGAAGTTTAGAGATGTGGGAGGTGGTGATGCTGCTGCTCTCTCTCTCTCTCTCTCTCTCTCTCTCTCTCTCGTGCAGGTGTGACACTCCCCAGGCTGTAAACACAGATACATATAAACAAACATGGTGGGAACTCCGTCCTACCGTTTCAGTAATGTTTTCATCTGCTCATCGGGTTAAAAAAATAGTTTAAGGTGCTGAAGGGAATTTAATTTACGGATGATGGATGGGCTCAGAAAATACCTCACACTTTTTTGTTCCTCTAACCTGACGAAGTGAGAGTCAACCTTTTGCTTCTTATGGATTGCATTTTTTGCTCTTCGGATCTGCCCTGTGTTCGTCCAGTCGTCTGAGGTGTTCTGAGTCATTTAAGTGGTGGTGTAGGAGGACCCGGGGGGGTGGAGGGCTGTTAACAGGTGGTAAGACATGGTAGTAAACTAGAGGTGAGAGTCGTGAGGGCGGTATGTCGACAAAGGATAAAGTTCATTAGTCGAGTTGGGTTGTGTGTAAGCTGGTAATGGTGTGGTTACTGCTCCCTGCCACACAACGCTATTATAAAGGTGTTGGTGATGGTGTGGTTCCTGCTCCCTGCCACATAACATCACAATAAAGGCGTCGGTGGGTAGTGGTTACTGCTCCTTGCCACACAACACCACAATAAAGGCATCGGTTATGGTGTGGGTAACTGGGTATTGCTCCCTGCCGCCCCAACACCACAATAAAGGCGTCGGTTAAGGTGTGGGTAACTGGGTATTGCCCCCCTTGCCGCCTCAACACCTCAATAAAGGCGTCGGTGGCTAGTGGGTAGTGCTCCAACACCAGAGTGGCGGCTTGATTACTCGCGAGGGAAGATTATGACCTTGAGCTGTGTATTCTTCCTTCTCTTTGATGCCGAGACTCGTGGCTTATTGAAGGTAATCACGGAGGGAGAAATTTGTCATCTTGTAGCCCAGTTTTTGTGTAGAGTTAGCCTTCCCGGGTTTATTTACGTTGTTTTATAGGACTTTGTATTGGTTTATGTTAATGTCGATGACTATGAATTGTTTTATTTGGGTTTAATTGGCTATGTATTGTGGTTAGTATGTCTATATATGTTTTTTGTATTTAGGTGTGTCTGTTTTATTTGAGTTTGTGTGTATTTATTGTTTTATTTATGTTGATATGTCTATGTCTTCTAATTACATTTATATGTCTATTTCTGGCTTTATTTTGATGTATATGTCAATTAATGTTTTTTTGGGGGTAATGGACGGTGATAAACTCAAAGTCACAATACAGAGGAAACTGAAATATAGCTCAGGTGACACGTTAGAGTGATAATGTCAATGAGGCTAATTAACTCACCTGTCTCTGTCTCACCAGGTAAACCACGTTCTCTGTAACACCTGTAAACACCTTTATTACACACCTGAAGATTAGACACCCATGGTTTATTTCACCTTGTACGATAATTAGTCTCATCTCTGTTTCTCTTACCTTTATCTCTCATCTCTTTCTCTCTAAACTCTGTCTTTCGTATCTGTCTCTCCTTTCTCTGTCTGATATCTGTCTCATCACCAGCCTTAACCAACACTTCATCACCATCTCTCGTATTTCTGCCTCACGGGTTAACACACACACACACACACACACGTGAGAGAGAATTAATGAGGAGGATATGAGTGGGTAAGTAAGACCTTGTTAACTCAAATCTCTCATTACACCTCATTATTATTTTAATAACGGGTTGTATTATGGTATGGTGTTGTCTGTCTGTCTATCTCTGTCTGTTGGTCTGTCTTGTCTGTCTGTCTTTTCTGTCTGTCTTGTCTGTCTGTCTTTATACTTGTTTTCTACCTATTAGTGTCTCCTGTCTGTCTGTGTGTTTTTCTACCTGTCTGTGTGTGTCTGTCTATCTATCAAAAAGGTTCGTTTCTGGTTCCACATCTTGTACGCCGACTGTCATGGAGGGCGGGGTGGTGTGGTAACGTCGCTGGGCCCACTCACCTACGCCTCGGTCACATGTCCCTCCCTCTTGTCTCACTGAACATAACTTTTACGGTGTTTCATAGGAGTTAAAAGTCATTTGAATACAATGTGGTAAATGCAGGATAAGGTGTGGTAAATGCCGGATAAAGTGAAGTAAATGCCGTATAAAAGGTCATTTGAGTACCAATTCCACGATATTGAATAATGACAAATAGAAATCAGATGAAACGAGAATTGGCCGAGGTAAGGTGTTACTCACTACGGCTAGAGGGAGGCGTTGTGTGTGGCATGTTGATCGGATCTTCTTTCATAAGAACATAAGAACATAAGAAAATAAGGAGTCTGCAATAGGCCGGTTGGCCTGTGCATGGCAGCTCCTGTCGAGTGTTACTACCACACTCTATCATCCATAAATCTATCCAGCCTCCTTTTGAAACTTTCCAGAGTTCCAGCACTTAGTACAAAGTTGCTAAGCATGTTCCACTCGTCCACCACCCTATTTCTGAACCAGTTCCTTCCTATCTCCCTCCTAAACCTAAACTTATCCAACTTAAATCCGTTGCTCCGAGTCCTATCCTGCTCGGATATTATAAGAACTTATCTATATCCCCTTTATTGATTCCTTTCACCCACTTAAATACTTCTATCATATCTCCCCGCACTCTTCGTCTTTCTAGGGAATGCAAGTTTAGTTTCTTTAACCTATCCTGATATGGAAGGTTTCTCAGTCCCGGAATCATTTTCGTCATTCTTCGCTGCACCGGCTCTAGTGAATTGATATCCATTCTATAATAAGGGCACCAGAACTGAACCGCATAATCGAGGTGCGGCCTGACAAACGCAAGATATAGTTGCAATAAGACCTCTGCACTCTAATTACTTACACTTCTAAATATAAAACCCAATACTCTGTTAGCCTTATTTCGAACATTAATGCACTGTTTTCTAGGCCGTAGATCCGGGCTTACAAGTACCCCTAGGTCTCTTTCACTAGTCGACTTCTCTAGGTTGATGTTGTTAAGGCTGTATACATTGACAGTATTTGTTCTTCCAATATTAAGTACCTTGTATTTTGATATGGTAAACGGAGGCGAGTTTTCAGTATTTAGTAACTTATGGTTTTATGTTCGGAATGCATGACGAAAAGGAATCCCAGCTTATTTCACTGGATGATTAAACACCCTAACCTAACCTAACCTAACCTAACCTAACCTAACCTAACCTAAGCTAACCTCAACCTCACCTGACCCTACTTAATCTTTCAGGTAGCGTTAGTATGTTTAGTCATGTAAAATAAGTTTGGGTGGTTAATCATCCACAAACTGTTCTCTCCTATTTATCATCCGCTTATTTATTGAGTTTAAATGACTACCTTATAATCATACTTATGTGGTCCTCATTAATTACTTAGGTTTTCAATTATTTTTTGTCAACACGTGTCGTTCATAGAAGTAGTTTTAACTCTTACTGGCAAGACCCCGAAGGACACACACACACACACACACACACACACACACACTCCACATCAACCACACCAAAACCGTAGTCATGCACATCAATACCGCCACCACTCCAGTACAAGCTCCAGCAGTCACAGTGGGTGCCCATCCTCTCCAGCTGGTGCAGTCTGCCAAACTCCTGGGTGTTACCATAGACCACAAACTGGACTGGAAGGCCCATGTAAACAAAATCAATGCAGCCTCGTACCGACGACTTAGGTCACTTGGGGCACCCACGCCAGAGCTGAGGACTATCTACAACGCCTTTATTCTCCCCAAACTAACGTATGCGTCACCAGCCTGGTCGTCTTCTCTCAACTCTACCCAACAACGCCAGCTAAAGAAGGTACAGAAAAGGGGCTGCAGAATCATGTTCGGAGCAGACTACTCCGGCTACAACAACGGTCTCTCCACCCTGGAAATGCCATCCCTCAGTGACCTCCACCACCAAGCACTAGCAAGGTTTGGCAGTGAACTACTGCACCATCCTCGTCATCGCCACCTCCTGCCACTGGCAGTCCCCCGCCCACCTCGCACAGTCCGCCACTACAACAAAATTCATCCCATAAGAGCCTGCGCTGATAGATATAAGAATAGCACCATCCCATCTATTTTTAAAATAATAAACAACTCCTGATTTATGTACTGTACAGCCCTGTAAATGTATTGAACGCATATCATTATGTTTAAATCAAATGTAAGTTTGTATATTTTCAGCCACCGGCTGCAACTCTATTAATAACCCTTTTATTATTATTATTATTATTATTATTATTATTATTATTATTATTAGTTTACACACACACAAACTAGGCGCCACACACACACACCCACTAGGCGCCACACACACACACCCACACACATCATAAGAACATAAGACCATAAGAATGGAGGAAACTGCAGTGGGCTTATTGGCCCATACTGGCCAGTCCCCTTTACACCCAACCCCTATCGCTCATATATCCATCCAACCTATGTTTGAAGGTATCCAGCGTATTCTCGTTAATGATGATATTTGGTAACTTGTTCCACTCATCCACTACTCTATTTCCAAACCAATGTTTACCTATTTCGCGCCGAAATCTAAATATGTCTAATTTAAAACCATTGTTAAGAGTTCGCTCCTGGTTGGATAGTTTGAATACCCTTGTAATATCTCCTTTGTTTAGCCCTGACTTCCATTTATACACCTCTATCATGTCGCCCCTCGCTCTATGTCTCTCGAGGGAGTGCAAATTAAGATGCTTTAACCTGTCTCTGTACTCAAGGTTCCTAATGCCCGGGATTAGTCTTGACATTCTCCTCTGAATTCTTTCCAAGGATTCTATATCCATTCTGTAATACGGTGACCAGAATTGAACTGCGTAACCCAAGTGAGGTCTCACAAGCGCAACATATAGTCTTAAGATGGCCTCACTAGTCTTGTAACTAACACTCCTTTGTATGAACCCAAGTACTTTATTAGCCTTGTATCGAGCAAAAACACATAGTTTACTTGGCTTAAGATTCCTACTTATCTTTACTCCTAAATCTCTCTCGCAGTCGGATTTCTCAATAACATCTTAATTCAACTGGTATCTGGTTTCCCTGTTTCCATCTCCTATACTGAGTACTTTACATTTGTCCACATTGAATTTCATCTGCCATTTTTCAGACCAGTCAAAATTTTTTTTAGATCTTCCTGCAGTTTTGCGGAGTCCTCATCAGATTTAATTACACGTCCTATTTTAGTGTCATCAGCAAATTTACTTATGTTGCTGTCTATGCCGATATTTATGTCGTTTATGTATATCATAAATAATAATGGTCCGAGTACTGAGCCTTGGGGAACTCCACTAGTGACGCTGCTCCAATCGGATTTGGTGCCGTTAATGCACACTCGCTGTTTCCTGTCCTGTAAC